AGAGAAGGAAGGAGGAGGAAAAGGAGAAGAAAGAGGAGGAGGAAGAAGAAAAGGAAAATAAGAAAGAGTAGGAGGAGGAAGAAAAAGAAAATAAGCAAGAAAAGAGAGGAGGGTTATGAAATTAAAACTTTAAAGTTGAGTGAAATAAAGAGTGGGGGAAAAAAATAAAATTATTTCAATAATATCTGTTATGAACTGACACAGTACATAAAAAAAGAAAGAAAAGACCTATATCCAATATCCTCAGCAACATTTCAAAAACTGTAAAACAAAAAGCAATACAAATCCACTGACTTCCCACACTAAAACAACGATCAAATCTAAGAACATTTCAATCACCCAGTCATTTTATCTATTCTTAATACAATTTTGAAGAATTGTTTTCAAACTGATGCTTAGAGTACAAACATCAAATGTTATGCCAATAATACACATGCACAGTTTCCCATATAAAAAATACATATAGAAAAATACACAGCACATTTACTTATACGTAATTATATTCATATACATATATTCAAACATACATAAACACACATCATAATCTATCAGAAATACATTTATATATGTACATATTTGTGTGTGTGTGTGTGTGTGTGTGTGTGTGTGTGTGTGTGTGTGTGTGTGTGTGTGTGTGTGTGTGTGTGTGTGTGTGTGTGTGTGTGTGTGTGTGTGTGTGTGTGTGTGTGTGTGTGTGTGTGTGTGTGTGTGTGTGTGTGTGTGTGTGTGTGTGTGTGTGTGTGTGTGTGTGTGTGTGTGTGTGTGTGTGTGTGTGTGTGTGTGTTGTGTGTGTGTGTTTGTGTGTGTGTGTGTGTGTGTGTGTGTGTGTGTGTGTGTGTGTGTGTGTGTGTGTGTGTGTGTTTTGTGTGTGTGGTGTGTGTGTTGTGTGTGTGTGTGTGTGTGTGTGTGTGTGTGTGTGTGTGTGTGTGTGTTTGTGTGTGTGTGTGTGTTGTGTGTGTGTGTGTTGTGTGTGTGTGTGTGTGTTGTGTGTGTGTGTGTGTGTGTTGTGTGTGTGTGTGTGTGTGTGTGTGTGTGTGTGTGTGTTGTGTGTGTGTGTGTGTGTGTGTGTGTGTGTGTGTGTGTGTGTGTGTGTGTGTGTGTGTGTGTGTGTGTGTGTGTGTGTGTGTGTGTGTGTGTGTGTGTGTGTGTGTGTGTTGTGTGTGTGTGTGTGTGTTGTGTGTGTGTGTGTGTGTTGTGTGTGTGTGTGTTGTGTGTGTGTGTGTGTGTGTGTTGTTGTGTGTTTGTGTGTGTGTGTGTGTGTGTGTGTGTTTTGTGTGTGTGTGTGTTTTGTTGTGTGTGTGTGTGTTTGTGTGTGTGTGTGTGTTTGTGTGTGTGTGTGTTTTGTGTGTGTGTGTGTGTTTTGTGTGTGTGTGTGTGTGTGTTGTGTGTGTGTTGTGTGTGTGTGTGTGTTTTGTGTGTGTGTGTGTGTGTGTGTTGTGTGTGTGTGTGTGTTTTGTGTATGTGTGTGTTTTGTGTGTGTGTGTGTGTGTGTGTGTGTGTGTGTGTGTGTGTGTGTGTGTGTGTGTGTGTGTGTGTGTGTGTGTGTGTGTGTTTGTGTGTGGTGTGTGTGTGTGTGTGTGTGTGTGTGTGTGTGTGTGTGTGTGTGTGTGTGTGTGTGTGTGTGTGTGTGTGTGTGTGTGTGTGTGTGTGTGTGTGTGTGTGTGTGTGTGTGTGTGTGTGTGTGTGTGTGTGTGTGTGTGTGTGTGTGTGTGTGTGTTTTGTACTGTCTTTGTCTTCAAAAGTACTTTCCTAGTTTTCCAAGAACATCCTAGAACACCATAGATGACACTGGAGGAATCTCTTTTTCCATTTCTCTATCTTGTTTAGAATTTACTTATCATTAATTTTACAGCTAACTTTAAAAAAAACATTGGCTGGACAAGCTATACAAGCATTAGCAACTCACAAAAACATGCACAACAAGAGTATGTTCATCAGATGTAAAACATAAAACACAGGATTTGGTCAACAGTTTTAGCGATTGTTACATGTGCTACTAGTTTTTATCCCTAAATAATAATATTGATGACGATGATAACATGTAGAGTGCACTACATAACAATGATAAGAGAAAATAACCAGAACACTATTCCAGTTTCATCTTTTACTGTATTTCTTTAACTTATATCTGATAGAAATAGTAACTATGACTGAGCCTCCAATGGATCCTGTATTTTTCTGCGAATCAAGTCCGATGAAAACAAAAATATGTTCATAGTAGCATCTACTAGTAAACTACTGGTTCCTCAGTGTTTCTCTCCTTGTATTCCTTCATCTGTTGTATCAGCTGGAATATGCCTCAAAATGTAAAAATCTACTGCAGTCTACCCTACTTCAAAACCTCCTGTTGATATACCCATGCAGTCAGCAAATCTACAATTCAAAAACAAAACAAAAACAAACATAAACATACTAATACATACATAAAAAGCTACAGAACATAGTATTAACACGGTGGTCTGTGTTCAAAACAATGTAAAAACCAAATAAAATATCAAAATAAGAGTTCGCGCGAAAACCAATTTAGCCTTGCTCTTACCGTCTGTCGTTTGGGGGGGCACATCCAGAGGCAGTGTTTTTTTTTGTTGTTGTTTTTTGAGAGGGGTACAGGGGGATTGTTTGTTAATGGAGGGTAAGCAAATTTTGCAAAAAAAGAAGTGTTTTTTTGCGCCTATGCTCGTTATGCTATTATGTTCACGTATAAAGATATTCACTAGACCCATGTCAAGATCCATACGGAAATGAATGAGTTCCTTTGGATGCAAGAGTTGAGAGAGAGAGACAGCATGCCAATTTTTGATGCAGTTATCTAAGGTCTCACCTAAAAGTAGGTGTTGTTTTAATCTGATATGTGCACCTAGAGTTCCTTAAGCCTATATGATTAACCTAAGCTTCAATGCTCCCATCTACTTTTAGCACTGCTGCATTTTTGTCTAAATGGTACCTTGTTACTAGTCTATTCTACAAGCTGTTATGCTACAAGGCTTTTGATGTTGTTTTTGTAGTGGTTTTTGTTTTCTTACTATTGTTTCTTACTGTTCTTTTCACTATCTTTCTATGCATTTAAGGACGAATAAAATAAGAGCCTTTGTACCAGTAGCAATTACATCATTAACTTTCCACAGTACTTAATTGCTATAATGTGCTGTAAACTGGCACTTCATTTTAATATACCTTACTTGTATGTATTAACAGAAACACTAACTAAGTCCCTCCTCAAATTAAATCTCATTGTCTATGGCATAAAATTCAATTCAAAATCAACTCAAAACTTATTCCTTCTTACTACATATTACTTTACCTAATATCTGTGTCTTTACATCTCAGAAAGCAGTGCAATTTAAAACCATAACTACCACAAAGCAATGATCTAATTTTAATTTTTGTTAATTTAATGTTAAACTGCCCAACCCTCTAACAAATTATCTCAAACAATTACCTCACCCTCTAATCAACAGCTTTACGTAGGTATCTTATTAATCGAAAATATTCCTCACCCTCTACTTCCCTCTCCCTACTCCTACAGATACAGTCTAATCCTCTTGTTCTAGAAAACCCCAAGTTTTAACAGAGAAAAGGACAGGTACTGGTAGCGAGAGAGAGAAAGAGAAGACCAGATCTCCAGTGCTTGCAATTCTCCCTCCCATCAGCAAACTCAGATCCTCTCTCCTGAGCCCCATGGCTTTTGCTCAGCTCTTACCTGTTGACTTGTTTCTGCGTCTGGTAGGCAATGGCCAGTTCTCCATCCTCGTTCACAATGTCCACATCCTTCCCATAGGAGGACTGGGTGAGGGACCGCAAGTCATGGGCTCGGTTGGCCAGCACTGTCCTTAGCTGGATGCACTCTTCACGACGCCGCTCCAGCTCATCTTGCAGGGCCTCAAATTGCTCTGTAAATGGGTAGAAATCATAAAATGAATGCTACGAGGTAAATCCCAAATCTTACAAATGAAGTAAGTATCTTCTAAAACAGAACAATTTAATCATGAAATAAATAAACAAGCTTATGATTTATTTTCATCAAAATCTATCACTAATTTGCTTCATAACCCTGGTGACACTGCCAGAAAAAATAAATAAATAAATAACCAATAAAAATCAACAAAAATGTGACCTAAGGAAATGTGGCCTCACCCTTTTCAGACCCACCCTGTGAAGCGTAATTAATTACAATATATTGTCACTTTCCTGCTATTTATTCAATAGAGTGTGTGTGTGTGTGTGTGTGTGTGTGTGTGTGTGTGTGTGTGTGTGTGTGTGTGTGTGTGTGTGTGTGTGTGTGTGTGTGTGTGTGTGTGTGTGTGTGTGTGTGTGTGTGTGTGTACATATATAAATATAAACAAGTATAAATATATAAATATATAAACATATATATATATATATATATATATATATATATATATATATATGTATATACATACATATACATATATCATTGATCTGTTTCCCAGAGCGCAGCTCAAAATTCCCCCTCATCCCAAGGCGAGCGGCCAAGCCTTCCGACCCGAAGCAAGTCCCTCCAGCCACTCCAAAACCGCGGCGCCAGCACCTCCCTGGCACCGCGGGGCTGGGCGCGCGCGCAGTACCTCTGAGCATGGTCTGCAGGTGGATCACCAGCCTCATCCTGGCCACCGTGCAGCAGAAGCGGTGCTCCTCCTCGCCCAGGTCGCCCCCGCCCACCCTGCCGTCCTCTCCCAGCCCTCGCCGCTCTCCTCCTCCAGGGGCGTCTCCCAGCCCAGCGGGGGCTTGAGCAGCTCCTCCTCTGCCGGCGGGGCCTTCCGCGACGCCGGCAGCGGCGCCGGCAGAGGGGAGAGGGCGGCGGGGCGCGACGCGCCATTGCGGACGCTCGGGGGAGTGGGCGGCGGCTGCTCCTGCCGAGGCGGAGGGAGAGGAAGGTGCCGCTGGGGCGTGGCCGGCCGGCTTATGGTGGCACCCTGCTGGCCCGCCCGAACCACGGTGATTATATCTGGCAGGACTCTCCTTGTGGGCGTGGGCGTGGAGTGCTGAGGCTGCTGGTGGCGATGGTGCGGATGGTGGGCGGGCTGTGCTCTGGGGCCAGGCGACAACGTCATGGCGGACACACCATGGCTCGCCCACGCTTCTCTGTCCGCCACGCCCGCGCCCACGCCCACAGAGGCCGCGGCGACGCTAATGCTGCCGTCAGCTCCTCAGGCCGGGCAGCAGCTGCGGGAGTGCACCGTCAGCAGCCCTCGCTGCGGCCATTGGGGGAGGGGGAGGGGGTCAGAGGCTCCGGGCGCGTGAGGCCCGGCGAGGCATCTGCGACTCTCCCACAACACGAATTCTCGAGCTGCGCGCCCGCGCACTCTGTCCCATCTTCCGTCCCCAATTCGCACAGATCTTTCGTTGGACAAAATGCGCAAAAATATGTCGATGCTTTGGGTCAATGGGACTGCAGTAAGATACTTTTCAAGTGTTCCTCCTATAATGAAATGCTGCTTATCGCATCGTCACTGTCAACGTCATCTTGAAAAGTCGACACATGTTAGAATCGAACAATTTTTTCACTACAAAGAAGAAAAAAGGAATCACTTATGGTTTCCAACACCTTAATTAAAATGCACACAGCACATGCGCTCCCCAAAAATAATGAAACTGTCATTTTCAAAACCATAATAAACGTTTGCACCGGATAATAAACAACCAAAAGTAAATGTTTATATAAGAATTTAAAAAACATTAATAATAACAACAATAATAACAGAAGCAACAATAATACCAATAATAATGATAATGAAAGATGCAATAATAATAATAATAATAATAATAATAATAATAATAATAATAATAATAATAATAATAATAATAATAATAATAATAAAATATATAATAAAAAATAATAATAATAGTAATAATAATGATAAAGATAATGATAATAATAAAAAACAACAACAAAATAATAATAACAACAATAATAATAATAATAACAATAATAATAACAACAACAACAATAACAATACAAGCATCAACAACACAAACAACAACGACAACAACAATCCTAATAATGTCTCGGTAAACAACTTGCACGTCCGCTTTGCCCTCGAGTGTTATTTATGAATATGCCCGGCCGCCATCTGCGCTCGATTTCTCTACGCGAAATATCTCCTAAAATGAAACTTAAAATAATACTTCTAAAATAATAAAGCAATGAGTGATATCTGATATACTGATCAGAATGTTATACTTATTTAAACTTTCGTCTATTAATAAACGCCAATTTCTATTAATCAAGTAATCTTAAATAAAACAGCAAGAATGAGAGTGAAAAAATAAACAGATTACCACTGATCGCCAACAAAATTAATAAACCACCATTTCATACAATATATATATATATATATACATATATATATATATATATCCAGCGAGGGAAAACAATACAAAAGTATATAACGAGACAAATAAACAAACACTCCTTTGCATCGCCATAAACAAACTCCCAACGTAGCCCCCCCCCCAAGACTCTCCGAAGGGGAAAAGAAAGTCGACAAAACGCGGGAAAATTTTTAATAACAGACGAACTGGCGGCACTAATTGGTCCATCTTCCCTCCATCCTTCGCTTCCACTTCCTGCTTTCCTTGCTCGATCCAATTCCGTCTTTATTCTGTCCCTTGCTTTCTTTTATCCTTCGGGACCGGTTCTTTCTTCCTTTCCTTTCTTTTTCTTTCTTTCTTTCTTTCTTAACGCATTCCGTTTTCTTCATTTTTCATTTCTGGTTTCATTTCTAATCCTTTAAAGTTAGACCCTATTTTTCATATATTTTCCCCCTTTACATGCGCGTGGACAATTCCTCCTTCATTTCTTTTCATCTTCATAAATGACTCTCTCCTATATCTCTTATTATCTCCCTCTCTCCACCTTTCTATCTCTGTCTCGTTTCCTTTCCCTATTTCTCTCTCTCCCTCTCCTTCACACCCTATTATTCTCTTACACACACTCTCTCCTCTCTCCCTATTTCATTTTCGCTCTCCCTCCCTTTTTCACTGTTTTCCCTTCCTTCTCCATGCCTCCCTCCCTCCTTTCCCTTCTTGTCTCTATCTGTCTCTGACTGTCTGTCTCTGTCTCTCTCCCCCCCTCCCCCTATGTCACTGACCACTGCGATGTCAAAGAACGGGGTCCACAGCGCAAACACTTGACCCAAATGCACACAAAATTCACCCTACACACTACCTGACCTCAACCCGCCCATCCCCCTTCAATCCTCTCCATCACTCTAACCCCCTCCTCTCCCTCCCTCTTCAAGGCCACCCTCAACTCTTTACCTCCCGCCCGCCCCTCCCTCTACTCCTCCAGATGTCATCCTTTAAACCCCTAAGACCCGCCTTCCCCTACCACACCCCCACCACCCTCCCACTCACCCCACCACTCTCCCACTCACTCGACACCAGGTCCCCCTCCCAGGTCCTCCCAATCTTCCCCTCCCCATCCCCCACCCCTCCATCACTACTGTGCGCATATATCCTAGCCCCTAGCCCCTCCCC